TAATAAAGTTTCCCCTCATGTCTTTTTTAAAATCTTTCTCCTCTCACCTTAAAAATATACCCCCTAGTCTTGAAATCCCTCACTCTAGGGAAAAGATGCCTGCCATCCACCTTTTCTTTACCCCTCATTATTTTATAAACGTCTATAAGGTCACCCCTCAACCTCTTACACTCCAGTGGAAAAAGACTCAGCCTATCCAGCCTCTCCCCATAACTCAAACCCTCCATTCCTGGCAACATCGTGGTAAATCTTTTCTGACCTCCCTCCAGCTTAGCAACATCCTTCCTATGACAGGGCGACCAGAACTGAACACGTTACTCCAGAACAGGCCTCACCAAAGTCCTGTACAAACTGAACATAACATTCCAATTCCTATACTTAAAAGGACTGAGCAATGAAGGCAGGTGTAGTAAAGACCTTCCTAACCTTGTCTATATGTGACGCAAACTTCAAAGAATCATGTACCTGAACTCCAAGGCGTCACTGATCGACAGCACTACCCAAAGCCCTCCTTTTAATTGTATAAGTCCTACCCTTGTTTGTCTTACCATAGTGCAATTCCTTGTAATTAAAAGTCTTGCATGAACACTCATTTTCTAATTATATCTGATTTTAATCTGTATTATATCCTGTCTTTTATAATTCTCCACTCCTTGTATAACAGCAAGTCCAGCATTGTTCTCTCTGACATAGCTATTTAAATCAATTAATGGTGGGTAATCATGTGTAGAGCTCAGTGGGGCACCTACATAGGTAATTGGTGTCTCACACATCTCAAGCAATTTCAAATAGGAATTGAAGTGCTAGTAGTGGACAGTCCCATCAGTGAGTGCAGGGCTGCCAAATTCTGCCTGAATGGACGCAACTGCTGAATATCATCAACTGAGGACCTTATTGAGGGAGCAACAGAAAATATGGGAAGTTCTGACAACCAAATCAGCTGCACTGTAGAACGATTAGGGGAGAGATGTTTCAAACCTCCATTCAAATGTCTATGTTCATGCAAAGTGTATTACCAGATGTAGTCGACTGAGTGAATGCTTGGGATCACACTCAGCCTACCTTTTCAAGTGAGGATTGTGGAATGGGGTGGCTGGGCCATGAGATAGAATGGATAAAAACAGCATGTGGAAGTGGGGCCTTTGCTCAATGTTGTTCCATGCCTGTCCCCTTATATCCGTCCAATCAGAGCCTCACATGCTACCACTGGTTTCAGGTTTTGCAGTCTTTGGGGCACCAGAACGCACACACTATCAGACAAGAGCACTTAAACATGCAGGGCATGACACCAAAAGCCCATCTCTAACTCTGTAGAAGTCACATTGGCTGCATCATAGAGGAGCTCTCGAAAAGAGGAAGAGAAAGGATTTGGAGTTTCACAGATTATTCATTTTGGAAAAAGTATCACTTGCATCTTTCACTTTTGAGCCATAAAATCTATTTCTAAGTTCCATTGACCCATCCAACCCGTTTTTGTCCATGTCCTGCCATGTGAAGAATGGAATGACAAGGCGTAAGGACAAGAAATACGCAAGGGATATATTGTTGACTATGGGACTGATTTTGATTTGATTTATTTATTATTGTCACCTGTCTTGAGATACAGTGAAAAGCATTCTTTTGTTCTGAGGGCTTGTGGTAGAACACAGTGGTTTCAGAATTGGTGTCATCTGATTGCACTGCCTTGGATTAACTGGCACATGCCTGAATCAGTCCAGACCAAACATCCCTGCCAGTTATGTGCGCACCTCTTGGGGAACGTGCCACCTCATGCTGCTCCTTTGGTTACCCTTTCTCCTCCAACAAAGACACAAACTGTTTATGGTCTTCAGCGAGACCATCAACATTCTGGAAACACTGCTTGTTGCAAACTCGGCTCCCCTGGATCTGTAGAGGCATCTAAAACATATCTTCAGCGCCTGGTTTGTGTCTTCAATGACAGCCCCTGAGCTGATGTGATCCTGCTGGACCTTTCCTGATTGTCTGATTGGGTTCTCTGGTAGGTGTCATCAGGCATGGCTTTCAAGGTTGGTCCTTGTCTTCAAACAGCTGTCTGTTGATTCTGTTTCAAGGTGTAAAATCTGTGGGATATTTGACTCATGCATAATGCCTGCATCCTGTCATCATCCCTGGCTATTTTGTACAGACGTGATGGTGGTTATAGATGAGCAGAACATTGGAATCCCTTTACGTTGATGAAAACTCTCGGGTGATCAGTAACACCTTTGATTATGACGTGTGCAATCTACAATCTATTGGAATCTAGCAAGACCAGTAAATCTGTGAGTCCTCCCATTTCACTTGCCTCATCAGCAATAGCACACAGAGGTGATGACATTGCAAAACATCACATTTGTGCCCATAACAATAGATTGAGAGAAACAACAAGGACTCACTAAGTAGGTCCCTGGCAGTTGTAACATTGACTATCACTGACCTCTTCTTTCGGAAGGTTGCAGATGACAACAACTACCTGACTAGAAAGTCTGAGCCTCTTGAGACTGGTGATGTCCAGTCAACAAGATATTTCTTGAGGACCACATCTGTAGTCATTCCTTCAGTCCTGTGAAGCAAGAGGTTGTCGAGGAGAAGACAAATGCTGCGCCCATTCAATTCCCATTGGCAAAAATTCCAAGGTGGCAAAATTAAACGTCAAAGTTTTGGAAATCATCAATGAGTGTCGAAAGCACGCACACGGAATAAAAACCAAAAGAACTGCGGATGCTGTAAATCAGAAACAAAAACAGAAATTGCTGGAAAAGCTCAGCAGGTCTGGCAGCATCTGTGGAGTGAACTCGACCCAAAATGTTAACTCTGATTTCTCTCCACAGATACTGCCAGGCCTGCTAAGCTTTTCCAGCAATTCTGTTATCGTCGGAATAAATCCTGTGTGTAAAAGCATTTCACTAGACGCTGTCAGAGTTCAGTTTTAAAGCCTTTCTTCCTGTGATTTTGTCAATCTATTAATTCTCACTGGTCTTTCATCTTGCTTTATAAGGCATGTTCCAGAAAATACAGAGGGGAAAAAATGTGGAAGGTTGCATACAAAGTGTTGAATTGAAATAGATTGTAAGCACTTAACGTATTTAAATTGCAAAACCTAGAAAACTTTCCCACCAGTTGAAGACATGCACAGAATAAAGCTGGATGTCTATGGGGTCCTGCTGAGTTCTCAAAGTACTGACAGTTCCAACAGTTTTTACTTCCCAACCCTTGACAAGCTTGTAAAACTGTCCTATGCAAGGAGTCAGCATTTAAAAATAAGTTGAAGAGGTGGTTCAATGGAAGGAACATGGAAACAAACACATGGCATTAAGACAACTTCATCACAGGAGTCTGGACTTTCTACTTTACATGTAGGAAGATGTTTTTTGAATAAGTACCAAATTTCATTGATAGAAATTAAAATAAATGTAAAATTAAGCTGATTGGTTATGAAATGTACTACATATTAATAGATTAATTTTTGGTGCATACGTCATGAAAAGACAGGTCATAGACAGAATGTGAGGACATGAAACTAAACCCAACACTTAACACTCTTACATTTCATTTTTTTTGAAGATGTAGGAATCCTTTGAACTATTGTACAGAGGCAAGTAGCTGGTTGGTGTTTCTTTTCAAATTGAGTGTTTGGTATGTGGACTGTAAGACTACCTGGGTTCAAATGAGGACAAGAACTGTCCTTGAACTGTTGCAATCCATGTTGTGATGGTAATATTTTCTAATCAACCTGCTCAGAGATGTTATTACTGACCTCTGAAAAAGATAGGAATTGAGCCTCGGCCTATGGTGCCAATTTTGCTTGCACTGCTGAATGGCAATTTTCAATTGTGAGTTTGATAAAGCCACTTCAGAGAGCATTAAGAGGCAGGTGCAGGCAACACTGGAAGTGGTGATAAGCAATTTTTCCCTGTAGAAACAATACTACGCCATTTGGGTTATAAAGGCAAAAGTGGAAACTTGCATGGTTGTTGCCTTTTGGTAGTAATTTATCTTTACCTTTTCAATAAAAATAAAGCAAAATACAAGCTACAATTTAAAACAAAAAACAAAACCAATAAATATTTAGGTGGCTCAGGGGTTAGCACTGCTGCCTCACAGCACCAGGGACCCAGTTCAGTTCCACCTTTGGACGATTGTCCGTGCGGAGTTTGCACATTCTCCAAGTGTCTACGTGGATTGCTCTGGTTTCTTCCCACAGTCCAAAAACGTGCGGGTTAGATAGATCGGTGTTTCTAAATTGCCCATTGTCCAGGGATGGGAAATGCAGGTTTACACGGATAGGGTAGCAGGGTGTGCCTCTTCGGAGGGTCGGTGTGGATATGATGGGCCGAATGGCCTGATTCCACACTGTAGGGATTCTATGATTAAAAAGAACACTGTGGAGAACAATGATAGAATGTTGAAGAGATTAACATAATGATTTACAGGATAAAAGGAGAAACGCAGCTTTATAAGTCAAAGAAGAAAGATGTACATAGGCTAAATTTCTGTGTTTCTTAAAAAAGAGATATACAAGGTGATAGCAACAGGAAACAGGGCAAAGTTAGCTGTGAACTTGAATTCACAGATTTTGCATTCATCTTGAACTGTTTGAATGTATTATTTATAACCAGCAGCCATCAGCATCCAGTATCCCTAAAGGGTAATGTTATAGGTCTGCAATACCAGAAAACCGAGATTCCGATTGAACCTTCGGAAAATGGTTGGCCTGCTGTGCAATAATTTTGGATGTGCACTGTTAGCTGCTGAGTGTCCTCAACAACAGCATTGGCATGTTAGTTATATAGCCCACCTAGTTGCAAGTAGCATATGTTTAGTTTTCCAGCATTATGTTGTCACTGGAGGTGAATTCTCACTGTAAATATTAACCACAGTCAATGCGTATGCTTTGTCCAAGTGAACATTGAATAAAGGGGTGTAGAAATGTGCAGAATGACCCTTGTTTTTCATGCATTTGAAGTACACTTATGCAACAAAATCTGAGCAACAACTGCTTTCATAAATATTGTAGGCTATTTTATTGCATATGGCTATTGAGACAGCATTCAAGATCAATACAGATATAGTACAGTATACTATTCTAAATCAATTATTCATCTTCCGGCAGCATTACATTCAACTTTACTTACAATATATACAACGGAAGACACAGCAAGATATGTTAAAGTTGCAATTATCTCTTGTCTGGTCACAAGAAGAAATATTACCTAATGTTGTATTTCCTGACAACTGAAAATGAAATAAAAACATGAAAACACTGCTTTTATATTATTTAGAGTTTAAACAGCATCAAGACAAAAAAACACGCACTGAACTGAAAGGGGCAAAATATACAGATAGCAAACTTTGCTGCACACTCTAGTGATCTTTGTAACTAGCGTATACAGATAGATAGTAAATTGCGTTCAGAACTGTAAACTAATGATGTAAAATATTGCATACAGTTAAATGTTTTGATACAGTGAAGTTATGAAACTCTTAATTAGTGGCAAGTGTTACTTAGCTCATTACATTCCATACTCTGCTGTTGTCTCAGGTAATGTAATTGGTTGTCAGCATTTTTTCGTTCAGTGCCATGATTCTAAGTGGCTTTTAATATAGATTCGGCCACTTTATCAAGATTAATTTCAATCCAATTTTACATAATGTAAAAGTTAGCAATGCTCACAGTACTGATTTTCTTTGTATAGTATATTTACACACACCATTAGGCATAACAATAATGGAATCGACCTTTGTTAATACAGAAGCCTTCACACTGGTCTGTAACTTCAATTACTGGCATTGCAGAAAATTGTGTCTACATTCAGAGATATCTGGCACTTTCATCAGCTGTTCTGGTATTAATAAATAAGTTAGCAGAAAGGTCTTGAGGAGCCACATTCACCAAAGCAGTACTGAACAGTCCAAGTTCTGCATTCAACATAAGAAGCACTCGTGGTTAAGAAATAGCAAGAACATTATTCTCTATATATCTTTTAAACAAAACCTGCTGACTCCCCTCTGAAGGAATCAAAGATTCATTTTAAATAATTTGTACAGTTGATAATGTTTTGCATTCAATTGCATTTAATATTTACATTCTGATGCAGCTCAAAATATGTGAAAATCCTTATCACCCACATTTGAAATATTACAGTTCTCTCCCTATATTAACTTGTGGAAGGTTACCTTCCTGGTCTTAGTGAAAGCACTTGGCTGCATCTTGCTGGGTCTTTCATGGATCTTTTGATCCAAATCCAATGTCCTGAAATTGCACTTAATTTCCCTCTTACAAGACCATTTTGTTTTATCTTAAGTTAGGCTCAAACTAATCAACACGAGATCTTTCTTGAACAAGGCAAGCCCAAATTTCTGGCTCATCACACAGTTAACTATATTCAAGGTGTTAAACAAGATGTTAAGGCCTAGGGTTTGTGTCTCGGGAGTTCAGTAGCGATAAAGCAAAGTTTGTGCACATTCTCCCATGAAAGGCTGACTTTAATAATTAAACGAGGTAGGATTTATACCAGGTCAGTAACATTCCAGTTCAGTCGGTTCCTGGTGTGAGAAGCATTTCAGAAAAGTAATGTGGTCAAGGTGTTACCAAACTGGGAAAGTTGAAGGTACTAACATTTGGCCATATCTCAGCTTAAAGATAGGCCTAACTGGCAACAGCTAATGTACTGCTAAATAAGTACTGCTTCAGTGATCACCCAGATAAGGATGAGGGTGGTCAATATCCATAGCAAAAACTAATGAGGCAGAAAGCTTCCTTGTCCTTGAAGGTATGCTGTGCATTGCAGTGTTATAACAGTCTCGAGGCATTATTGGTTACCCATTCACAATGAGGAAAGAAGGTAAACTTGAGCAGCATTCCACAAAAGGTGTTGCTGAGCAGCATCGCTTGTGTGAGGTTCCAGAGATGATGAAGGGTCTGTCAGTCTGAAGGAGAGAAAAGAAAAAAAATGTTGCTTGAAACAACGTATAACTTTACAATTCATTTCGTAATATAGACCTTGAATATCACCTAAAAATAGGTGTGTCACCCAGGCTTTCCTCGAGACCATCAGGACAAATTTAAGAATACCAAATTTCAAACCATCATAGAATTTATACGACAGAAGACAGTGGTCAGCAAGTTGACTCTGGCAGAATACGTTCCTCCTGCGGTTAACAAAAGCTAGAGTACAGTCCATACCCAACCAGCCCATGCTTGCAGAACCCACACTAAATTATCTACTTTTAGATATAATACTGCGATTGGACATCGACTTCTGGACAGTTTTGAATGTGCTGATGCCTGCACCAACATCCAATTTAAGTTCTGAGGAAGGGTCACCGGACCTGAAACGTTAACTCTGTTTTTTCCTTCACGGATGCTACCAGACCTGCTGAGCTTTTCCAGCAACTTTGTTTTTGTTCCTGATTTACAGCATCCGCAGTTATTCCAATTTCACTTAATCAGTCCAGCTCATAATGTATCTCATTCCCACTTGTTGGAAGTGGCATCTATTTCTTCCCAGGGACATATTCCTTATAAACAACGCAAACATGTTCTTTCCATTACCCAGAATCATGGAGAACCTATAATTCCCCATTACTATCTCCATGGCAGTGCCTCTGTCAGTCACAGTCAACTCGCAAACCAATTAGCACCCTTTTCTCCTGTTGTAAAAATTATTACGTAAAATTTGGTATTTTTGTACTTATGCTAGTGAGTACCAAAAAAGCTTCAGCAATTTGTCTCTGATTTCAGCAACGTAAACTTTGCAATGTAGACATTCACACATGTTGATTTTGCTTAGGCTGACTCTTTGCAGTTGTTTTATTTATTTAATAAACTATTTACATACACAGAAGGCTCGGATAACAAGCTGCAGCTATTTCCAGTGCTTGAGCTTGCATCTGTGAAACCCCTCTCAAAAAGTTGTTTGGTTAGTTAGCTAAGCATAGTAACAATTCACATGGGAAATGTTGCTTTCGAGGCAATGTTTATTTCTACAGCAAAATAGAAGTTTAAGGATTAAGGCAAGGAATTTAGAAAACAATGCAAGTGGGTGGTTTGCAGAACATGAAGAACATTGTAGTTGCAGTGTGTAGTAATTTCATGTTTCTGGGAAGAGAGTCTAAATCAACAGAACTTTCTAATAGTCTGAAGGTCTGACATACAATACTGGAAGTCATGTCTATGCTTTGATTAGATTGCAATTTCAAACTGCAACCTACAAAACCTCTGCCCTATATTTGAACGTATATTTGCCCCTTTTTTAAAAAAAAGACGATAAGGTTGACTGGAGTTTTAAAATGGAGTAACTATGTCTAACCCTCAACTTGGTTCTACAATTTATGATGTTGATATATGCAGCTTTACAATTCTAACTTTTTATTATTAAAGCTCTGCAATTTTCTACTTGACAGATAGCTAACAGGTGAGATGAAGTCTAAAACAGAAGATTCGATTCTCAAGAAGATTCAGGTCTGACCTTTCAACTAACTGAATGAGAACAGAACCTAAGCAGTGAGAGAGGTTTCTGGAAAGTATGGGTCTGGTGTTTACAATGGGAATACTGTGCTCTAAATATTACTGTTGGCACAAGTTCTTTTCAATTTCCTAAAGTGCAGTTATCAGGAGCCCGAACACAGGGTTCTTTTGTTTTTCAACATCCTATTGAATTTTTAACAAAAGAACTTCAGAAGATAATGATTATCAGATGCAGAACAATCTGCTGCTCAAAAGTCAAACTCTTGAAAGGAGGATTTTGAAGCACAAGATAAACATTTAGAGGATGAAATCAGTTTATGGCAGCAACATGGAACAGCACTGGTGTATCAATAGGTGACTTTGTTTCAGTCTAGCCACACTTCTTGTCACTAAGATCACAGAACAACAATTCAAAACTTTTTTTTTGGGTGACTTGAGTCCAAGTTTCACTGCCACACTTAATTGGTTGAAATTTAAAATTCTTGACAACATTTTTCAAGATAATTAACATTAAAAACTAAAACAAAAACCTGGAAGAACTGAGGATGCTGGAAATCAGAAACAAAAATCAGAAATTGCTGGAAAAGCTCAGCAGGTCGGGCAAAATCTGTGGAGAGAGAAAGCAGAGCCTTCTTCAGAACAAAAGTAACAACTGTTAAAAAGTAAAGCATCGGCCTCTGATTCACTAGCTGCCCACTCCACAGCTCTCCACCTCCCCAGGTGCCAGCCACCATTCTCAGTGAGATAAGAGAATTTGATTGACCAGGCACCTGAGGCCCTGGCCCGCTGTAAAATGGCTGAGGGTGAGCTGGCCAAGTGGAGGTAAACTCCCTGCCCAGCTTTGCATTGGAGGAGTTCTGTGTAAAATTTAGCCCTCAGAGTGCATTACTACAATGATAGACTGATAGACCACAGCCTTCAAGCCTGCATGCATCATTTGGTTATTTCGCTAAGAGGTCCTTAGCTAACACATGTTCTTTTGTTTTCGAACAATAGAATATGAAGGGTGTGAGGCATTCAACTCTTATTTTTCATTTAGTGATTGTCACAAGGTGGCAATTTATCAATGGCTGGTTGACCAGAGGGGTATCATCTATTTGACAGGGTATTTGGGGTCAACTACATATTGTATCATTGATCACATGCAGTTCAGACCAGATCAAGGTGATTTCCCTTCCCTGAAGAACATCAGCAAATTTGTTGACAATGCGGGATCATTCATAGTCATTTAAATGATCAGCTACTACATTTAGATCATAAGAAATAAAAGTACGTCCATTGAGACCGCTCCCCCATTCAATAAGATCATCATAACCGATCTCATTGGGGCCTCAGCTCCCTTGTTGGTCAGCACCCTCTTGCTCGATATTAATTATATTCAAAGACCCAGTCTCCACTGGTCTCCAGGGAAAAGAATTTCAAACACGTCCGACCCTCTAAGACATTAAAAAATCCTCCCACCTTCACATTAAATATGAGACAACATACTTTTAAATGATGACCGTCATCTTGGATTACCCCACTACAGGAACCATCCTTTCAGCATCTATCATGTCAATCTTTATGTTTCAATAAGGTCATGTCTCATTTTTCTAAACTCCAACTAGTATAGATCCATTCTGCTCCACCTTTCCTCGTAAGACATGATCTTCAAACCCTGAATCAGCCTTGTAAACCTTCTCTGAACTACTTCCAATGCAAACACATCTCTCCTTAGAACCAAAACTGTGTACCGTACTGTAGGTGAAGTCTCACTGATGTGCTGTATAATTGCAGCAAAACTTTCCAATTTAGTTTCATAACTTGACCAAGCTATTGTCTAGCATCATTTTGTATGTTCAATTAATGTACTTCAATCTCGACACGTTGCCTGTTTGAAATAAGCTTTTACTTAGCCACTGCAGAAATTCTTTCAAAAGCTGAGAATAATATGCCCGATGCAAAATCACTTCCAAAGCATTTGCTGCATAGTTCATACAATCTGCTCAGTAACAATTACAGCGAGGGAGGGTTAAGTAGGTATTGCCTAGTATAACCAAGCAGAATGTTTGCAAACTCCTGCAACAGCTAAGAGGTGCAGCATTAAACACACTTTCTTCTAGAATGTTGAGTACCAACACAAAACAAATACTAGTCAGAGCCATCATCATCACCACAAAAGGAACCAGTTATGGTGCTGAGATACATTTATGTACTGTGATACTGTGAAACCAGTATTGTTAACATCTATTATAACTTCTATAAACATAAAACCGACTGAGTGTTAACACTTGTATATCTAGAGTCAGATGTACCATTTCACAGACCGGAGCACACAGACTCAGCATATACTCCAGTGCAGTGACTTTGATGGCTGCAATTGAAAAGGTGCTGTCTTATGGATGAGACATTAAACCAAGATCCCATCTAACTTCTTAGGTAGCTGTAAAATATCCAATCACACTGGGGAAAGAGCATGATAGTTTCCCAAGTGTCCTGACTAACTTTCATACCTGAAGCATTATAATGAAACAGGTTAACCGTTAATTTCTCTCAGTGCTGATCATTGCTATATGCAATGTAATGGTTATATTTACCTACATTATATCTAAATTGATACTTTTGAAGTATAAGTGTTTTGGGCCATGCCAAGGCCATGAAAGATGCAAGTTATTTCTTTTTCCCTTCTCTGTGATCTTTTTATTTGACTGTAATGTTTATCCTTTAAACTTTATTTCTTATTTTCTAACTTATACTATGAATCACTGTAAGGTAATGTAATTTTTTTTTTCTTTATTTCTGTATTTTGTATCTAAAATTTATATCTAGGTGCTTTGTACCTAAGATGGCACCATGAGGGGCAACATTGTAAACTTTCACTGTACTCCTGTACTTGAGTACACAGGACAATAAACCTAATTCTACTTCTCCTCCTTGCTGCTGCTAATAGTTTGAGACTGAACCAGACTGACTGAACATCTCAGTACCAGAGATCAACTTCCAATCATAATTCCATGCCACCACTAACACCACCGACTTCCACCTCCCTAAAATTGCTTAATCTTATCCGTGCCTCAGCTCACCTGTTCCTGAAAACTTAATTTGTCCCTCGGTTTGCTATGAGATTCAGCTGTTCCTGACTAATCCTTGTTTTTATCTTCCTTAAATTTGAAGTCATCCAAAACTCTGCTGGCCACAGCCTAGCTTGCCTCTGAGTTCTGTTGACACGCTATCCCTGTGCTTGCTGACATGCAATCACCCCCTTTAAAGAAACACTTCACATTTAAAGTTTTGTCTTTATTTTCCAATCCATTCATGGCCTTGTCCTCCCTAATCTCTGTAATCTCCTTTGGCTTCAGCTAATGCTGTACTGGCATCTTGAACATCCTCAGTCTCAATAGCACCATACCTAGTGGCTATGTTTCACTCCTGGGGTTCCAAGTTCTACAATTGCCTCCCTAAATCATTTTCCTGCTACCTG